TAAAATAAACACAGACCACATCTACCATACCAGTTCATACGAGACCAAACTAGACTTAAACAGACCAGAAAATTTCAGTCCAATTAAAAACATCATTATTTAATATTTTTTTGTATTCCTTTCTCCAGCAATTTCCGGAAACCAAACATACCCATAGTGTTAAAAAATCACTATCCAAGGAGAATTATGGAGATCAAAAGATCATAGCTTCCAAAAAAGGAAAAGTTTCTCAAGACTGTGAAGGTGGTGCACCAGATGAAAGGAAGCGTAGTTTTCATGCACAGGTTGGTTCTCATGTTAATCACATAGCTTGCTGTCCAAATAAACTTTATTTAGATAACAAATACTTCTTGATATATATGCAGAATATTAAACCTATTTCCAAAAAAAATCGTTAGTCCCCTTTCCGTAGCATTTTCCAGGAATAAAACATACTCTAATTTTTCAGAAATCACTATCCAAGGTAATGCCTGGAGAGAAAACGATCATAGCTTCCCGGAAGAGAAAAGTCCCACACGATGGAGAAGGTGGTTTAATAGATAAGTTGTCCGCTTTAAATGATGGGAGCCATAGTTCGCATCCACGGGATGATGATGTGGTAGATGCTAGTCATGTTGAATCGAGCATGAAAGCTGATCTTCAGACTGTAGACCTTGGGGTGGACATAACTCCTCCTACGAAGAAGCATTCTAAGCAATCGGAGAAGAAGGAACTGCAATCTGAATCTAAATCAAATGGAATTCATATGCCATGTTTCACTGATGAAAACAATCAGGAACCAATCAGTCAAGTTTCTTCTTCAAGAAAGGAAAATGAACAAAAGACCGACAGGTCATCAGCCAAGGGTGGTTCGTGGATGCAAACGTGCTCATGGACACAGCTGGTTGGTGGTGATATGAGAAACAGTTCTTTTAGCATTTCTCAAATTTTGCCTGGTTTGCACTCTGAGAAGGGACCAGACTTGTCCTCAAAATTAGGGGTGGGAAGTATAGTTGATCATCTAACAGTTGCTGGAAGTTCTATGCAGTGTGCTTCAAAGGAAAGAAAAAACGATGTCCATGTGACAGCCAAGCTAGACAATTACAAGCAAAATGAAGCGAATGATGAAGAGAAGAAAGGCATGCGGACCATGAAACAAGCACCACAGCCGGACATTGGGAAAATGTGTACTTTTACAAGAAATGCCACATCCATGAAAGTATGGAAGAAGGCAAAGGCAGCTTTGAGTGGCCCACTAAAAAAGAACTTGTAGCAGCACATCCAAATAGTCGATGCTTAAGTGGTGATACTATTTTTGGTTCTTTTTCTGAGTTTTTTCTCTTACTCTAAGCATGTGTTAACCACCAATAGATCCTGTATGATTAAAGGATTACGTCAACCAGACTAAAGGTTTGTAACATTTTAAGGCCGCTGCAAGTGGACAATAATAGAAAGAACAAAAAAAAGGTGTATACAATATTGCGAATTTTTTAGTTGAGTTTTTATCTCTTGAAGACCCGAAGGATATCTGTAATTATTTACCATTAAATTATCAAGAAAACCTTGGGATGGAAAATGTGCCAATGGAGATGGATAGTGGTTGGACTCGGCCCGGGTGGCCCGGCCCGGTACTGTTAGGCCCGAGCTGACCCGCTGGCCCGGCCAGGGACCGGCCCGGGGGTTTTCCTAGGGATGGACTCGGGCGGGGCGGCCCGGCCCGGTTACTGTTTGAACCGGCCCGGCCCGGGAACCGGTCCGGGGGGGGGGGGGGGGGTTCGGGTCGGCCCGACCCGGTTACTGTGCGGTTCGGGCCCGGGCCCTTTGATTGGCGAACTGGCCCGGCCGGTTCGGGCCAAATTATTATTTTTTTTTTGAATTTTTTTTAAGTTTTTGGGTTGGGCTTGGTATTTTGGGCCATTTGAGGTGGTTTGGGGGTGAGGGGGGAGGGTTGGGGGTTAATTAGGAAAAGCCAAAAAAAAAAAAAAAATAGAACCGAGGCCCGGCCCGGCCCGGACCCGGGATTACCCGGGCCGGTTCCGGGCCTCCCATTTCTGAACCGAGGCCCGGCCGGGCCCGAACCGGAACCGGTCCACCCATAGGTTTTCCGGTGCGGGCTCGGGTCAGGAAAATAAGGAATTGGTCGGGCCGGGCCCGGTTCGGGCCATAATTTTTTTTCAAAGTTTTTTTGAATTCCCGGGTTGGATTGGGTATTTTGGGCCATTTGGGGGTGGTTTGGGGGGTTGGGGTGAGGTGGGGGGGGGGTCGGGGGTTAAGTAGAAAAAGGAAAAAAAAAAAAAGAATTTGGCTCGAGGCCCTACCCGGCCCGAGTCGGGGGTTACCCGGGCCGATTCCGGGCCTACCTTCCAACTTCTAAAGCCCCACCCGGCCCGACCCGGCCCGGGTCCATCACTAGAGATGGAATTAATTTGAAAGTAGGGTCAGATGTGCTTAATGCGGTGACGGAAATCCAGAAAGGCGGGAGCAACACAGTAAGCGGCTTATTGGCAGAGGCTATTAGGGATATGACGGCAAATTTTAATAGCATTATTTTTACTCATATTAGGCGTTCAGCGAACCGGGTTGCTCACTTGTTGGCTAGAGCGGCCGGTTCTTTGTATGATGGCCATGTTTGGTTTTCTTACCCACCTAGTTGTATTATGTCTGCTTTGACACCTAGTTGTATTATGTCTGCTTTCAGTGCTTTGGACTATGATCTCATGAATGAAAGCTAAATGTGTTTCTTTCAAAAAAAAATCAAGAAAACCTGAACGAAATAAAAGGGCTATTGATGCTGGGAAATCCAGAAGTGTTTTCTCGTCATTGTTCTTTCCAGAAGTGTATCAAAATTGGCATGTTTATAAAAATAATAAGTAATTGCTACGCATTGTTTTGACAGAACATTATTCATCTTGCAATACCTAATGAGACTTGAGTTGTCTGGCAGAGTCCCTTCATATTCGGAATACTGGGGGTGGGACTTTGGAATCACGAGTGTCTGGCACAGAGTCCCTTCGTTAGAATCAGGTTCGATTCCACACATGAGTTATAAATTGTTAACGGTTCGATTTTTATTCTTTATTAACTGTTCGGTTCCTGGTTCCTACAAAAAATATGTCCACAGAACTGTTATTAAAAAATAAAAAATTGAAAATATAACTAGTGATAATAAAAATAACAATAATAATAATAATAATAATAATAATAATAATAATAATAACATTAGCAATAGCAATAATTATAGTAACAATAATAATATAATCGAAGACATTTAATTACACAACAATTTAAATTTGATTAATGGAAGCGGATGATGATAAATACATTAACCTCGTTTTTTACAAATCATATTTTATCCCATCACGAAAATTTCATAATTATAAAAGTAAACTAAATTAATTCATGTTGGTTCGATATATTTTTCTTTTTAATATTCAAGATGATTGTAATTGTGAGATTTTAGTGTAAATAATGCTCCTAGAATTTGGAATGTAATGATGTTTATATTTGTACTTGCTTATTCAATACGTTCATTTACATTTTGAGGAACTTGAACTAGGCATGGACTCAGTTCGTGCCACCCGGCCCGAGAACCGGCCCGGCCCGCTACTGTGCGGAACCGGCCCGGACCAGGAAACTGGTTCCGGGCTTAGGCCCCACCCGAGGGGGTAACCGGGAGCGGTTCCGGATCATGAAAAAGGTGAATCGGCCCGACCGAGCCCAGTTCGTTTTTTTTTGTTTTTTGTTTTTTTGGGTTCAGGCTGGGTTTAGGTGGGCTGGGTGTTTCCGAGGGGTTTGGGGGTGGGGGGATGGGGGTTGAAATAAATAAGAAAACACACAAAAAAAAAATTGAACTGGAACCGGTAGGCGATAGACTCCCGGGCCAGTCCCAGGCCTTACCCAAAACCATCCAAACCCGGCCGGATCCAGGCCCAAACCGGAACCGGGCCCGGTCCATCCCAAAACTTGAACTAGATGTCTTATTCTATTATGACGACCCAAATTTTATTGATATCAAACAACAACGATTTTCATATTTTATTTACAAACAAAATTAAAAAATTATTTCATTCTATTAAGTGTTGAATAAATTAAATTTGAACTTGATGTTTGAAGTGATAAGAGTTTCAGAAAGTACTTATGTCTTGTGTTTTAAATTTTTACGTTTTAGAAAGTAAATTGTGTAAATTTTTTATGAAAAAACTGACGCATAGGAACTAATAAAAGTAAGAACCGAATTGTTTACTATTGGTTCAATTCCATAATGATTAAAGAAAATTTAGATAGGAACCAAACCGATTTGATTAGTTAAGTTTTTTGTAACGGTTCCACTAATTTCATATAAGAAGCGAACCGGTACTAGGCATGGACCGATCCCGGGCCGGACTTTTTGGGTTTGGCTACAGGCCCAGAACCAGCCCTGGATTCCACCAGGTCCGGGCCGGGCCCCGAGCCTGTTCAATTTTTTTTAGCCCAACCCAGGAAAAACAAAAAACATTGAAAAAACAAAACAAAACAAAAGGTCCGACTGGGCCGGTACCAAAGGATAGGGTAGCCCGGAACCGCCCCGCCCAACCCCCCGAGCCGGGCCTAGGCCTGGAACTGGTCCCGGTTCACCGGGCCAGGCCCGCACAATGGCAGGCTTGGCCGACCCAAACCAGGCCATCACTAACCGATACCAGGCCTACTGAATACTTTAATGATGCTACCCTTGACTAGGGGTGGACCTGACACCGGTCCACCATCCCCGAGCCCCCCAGCAATCCAGCACCAACCAGACAATTAACTGGGACTCTGGGAGGATGAGAGGATCACAATTTGTTTCCCAGCTTAGTTCTAGTCTTCTAGACCGGTGCAGCCTAGTTTATAATACCAGGTTTTAGCCTCTGATTAAAAGAGCAGTTTTTTTGCCTCATTAAAATCAACATAACCAGTCCAGGCTGGAGACTGGGGCGGCTTGTCAATCTCGGTACAGTTCTAGATCGTTGCTTAGTTAAGTAAATGGGGTGTTCTCAGAATACCAATTCAACAAACACCAAAATTTGTCAAATGTCCATAAAGTAATTTTGCCACAATAACAATGTAAAAGCTCCCAGTCTAGTGGGAATATAACTTACAGGGTTTTAAATTATATTGAGGAATCAAAATGGCAATGTCTTTTTTCAGAAAGAGAAAATGAAAAAAGAAAATGCTGGTACATGCTAAGGTAGATGAACATTTGAATTCCTTAGTTTTTTTGCTTAAGTTCCTGCTCAAACTGAAGTAATTTTTCACGGAGAGGTTGCAGAAACTGTTCAAAATTGTGCCTGATTTGCTGCTTATCTTTGTGCTCAAGATCCTTGTCTTCATTTAGTCTAACCTTGATCTGAAGAAAAGAACAAATTATATTTCCCAGGAGAGATTGGAGATGCATCTCTAAACATGATCATTACACAAACATATATTCCCAGATATAACACTTTCCTTTTCTCAAATACCAATAGTACAATTTATCGAGGATCTAGGGCAATAAAATTGAATGTTAACTATGCTTGCTGACTAAAAATATACCTGCAAGCGATCCAGTTCACCAAATGAAAACTCTTGTACATCTATATGACCTTTGACCACCTTCTTCTCAGCTCCAACAAGCCACTCCCCTGTGTTTCAATAACATCTAGTTAGGACAAATCACACAGAAGTATGAGTTGGAGTAAACAAATAATCCTTTTTAATAAAGGAGCAAGGATAACAGAAGCTGGCAACAACAATGAGATGAAAAGTTACCCTTCACCCCTAGTGTTAGCTCATACGTGTAGCCAACACGCTTTCTGTTACGTACAGTCACCAAGAATGCCTGTAAAAATTAAAGAGAATGTAATGTCTGAAGAAAATATACTAAAAGGTTAACAAACAAGTAAAGCTGCACAAATATAATGGCATTACAAATTTTTAAAGCACTCACATCTCCACTACATTTTGTTACTTCGGTTATTTCAGCATTGCCTCCACACATTTCCAGAGACCCCATGGACTCCAGCAATTCCTGCAGTCAAGAGATAAATCATGAAGTATTTTACCTCATTTGTACTTGTAGTACACATTGCCACTAATCTCTCTTTGAAAAAGTGTATATGTAATCAAAGAAGATCAAACAAGACACAACATAATGGATTTCTTCTGTTTTCTTTATTTACTTTCCTCTATATCTTGCTTTAAAAAAGTGCGCCTCAGGCGCTAGGCGCCCTAAGGCGATCACTTCATCGCATCTTACACCCCCAGGCGGCGTAGGTTCCAAGAGGAGCGCCTTATACGGCACTTTTTGACACCTTTTGCGAGTCTGAGAAGCGCGCGCTTCTCACGCCTCATGGATTTCTCTTTTGGCGGTTGAGTCTCTCTAGTCTTCTCCCTTCTGCGTTTTCTTTGCTTCCTTGTTCCTACATCTGCGGTCCTGTTTCTTGCTCTCGTAGCAGGACTCGCACGCAAGTCTGTTTCTTCAGCTACTTTCTCGCGTAGCAGGACTCGCAGAGTAGTCGCAGGTAGGTATTTATTTCTTCTCTTCTACTGTTTGTTCTCTTATGCGTGTGATACTTTATTAATTATGTATTATTTAATATTTTATTACCTTGAATTTGTAGTGTTACTACCTCTGTCGGTCTGTTCTAGATCATGCTGAGTAGGGTACCTAAATATTTGATTTTATTTAACACTTATATAAAACAATTTTTATTATTAACAATTTTTTATATAAGAGCTTATCAATTATGTTTTGAAGTTTTAAGATTGAGTTTTGTGACTTGACATTTGGCAATGAATCAATGATGCTGTTTGATATGTATTTCTTGCTGCTGTCTTAATAAATATTTGGTTTCTCTTATGATGTTTGATAAGATTGTTTAATAGTTTGAAGTATTTTAGTGATGTTATCACTTTTTGAGATGAGTGCTTCATGTAGAAGACTAGAAATAGTAAGATATGATGTTAAGATCTGTGAGGCGCGCGCCTCGTCGCCTTGCGCCTCGGGTAAATGAATGAAAACGCCTCGTGCCGCCTCGCGCCTTTTAAAACTAAGCTCTATATATCTCTGAATTTCATTAATGTAATGGCACTGTCTAAGTCTCCTATTATATACAACCATTGTCCCATTTTGAGAGACACACTTTCCTTAAGGTTGTCCCAAAGTAAGAACACTTGTTAAAATTGAACACTATTAACTTTTTACTTCCTCACTTTATCCCTCTACCTGCCATTGCATCTTTTACTTACATATGGACCTAGAGTACTTTTTATTACTTTTAGAAGGTTATAATTTTAAAACAACTACTTCACCCTTTGTTTTCTTGAAAACCATGCCAAACCCAAGTGCACCTTACATTATGGGACGGAGGGAGTTATTAACATGCTCAATATAACAATACGAGAAGAAACCCTTTCTTAATGCTTTTTTTAAAGCACGTTTTATGTCTATGTGAGCATCTAAGAAACAAAACACCTAATTGTATTCTAGCGAGAACCCAAGTACTTTACTATCATAGCTTTTGACTTCTACTGTCCTAAATCTCTGTCTGCATGTTTAAGGCATGTTATTCAACATTACAGCGTATGTAACGTAAGGGGCTGTCCAATTTGAAGCCCTTTTCAAGTCAAAAAGATAATTGCTATACTGTAGCTTTGTACAAAAATGGTCCACCACATAAATAGTGTAGTTTATGAACAAAGACTTCCCTCAATACATACATTACATAGGTGAACAAACTAGAATTTAAAGGTGTAGCTAAATTCTATGATAGTATCACAAGATTAATTTCTTAGTTCTAATCATAAAAAGGTGCATATTTGTCACTTTGTTGCAAGAGAGTAACAGCAAACAACAATACTACAATATAGTAGACCAATGTAATAAGATTAACTTCTAATCTTAAAGTTACATACATTTCACTTTGTTGAAAGACTAAGTGCAAGCAAAATTCAATAAACAGCAAATTTAAACAAAGATCAAATCCATAGAAAGGGCCGAATCACAGCATTTCTCAAACAAAAAATGAGAAGAGTAATGGTATCTTTAAAGGTGAAACAAAAGTCGAACCTTAATTCTATTATCAGCCCATTTATCTAGACTCTTTTCCTCCCAAGTTCCAGCCTGCAAGAACAAAGAAAGCAGAAGTGAAAATGCAAAAGATACCAAGTACTTGAGCACACCAGGGAATAGGCTTAAAATCACATTATATGGTTTAGGTATTTGTGGGTGGGAGTAGGGAAACAGGTCACTGTAGAGAATCATTATGAAAGCAGAAACAGATAGCCCTACACAGCCTTGGTGGAACGATTCCCACATTGATCGCACTTTAAGATTCTCGTTTCCCATCCATGTCACATATTCATTCTAACATTGAAAATTGAGCAAAGATGACAAATATACACCCAAAGCAAGTAAATAAAATAAGTGCTTGAAGATTCATGAGTTCTCTCTAACAGATCTAAAATTTTAGGTTAATTTACATCGAAGGTGGAATAAAGTTCTCTCTTCATCACGAACACTTCAAGTTACTGATGAGTGATGACTATGCTTGAAAATGGACAGCCCCCAACAGCAACTGGTATTATTTATTCAACAGCTAACAGTTACATAGATCCAGCTAAAATAGCCGTCAATCCAAAAATGTAAAATAACTCGGCAAAGAAGGGAGCAAAAGACTATTTTTCTTAACAAAAAAACAGATATGGACGGGAACGAGCTACCGAATTCCAAGCGGAGCCAAGCCGGGCAGGGTTTTCGTTGTTAGGTTGGTAATCAGGGTTGAGCTTCCGGGGAACGGGAAGGGGTGCGGCGTCTGATGTCTTTTCCCTAACCCAGTAGGTATATGACGCCGCCGCCGGATCCTTGGGCTTTCCCTCGGCGGCAGCTCCACCCCCTTCCATTTCTATTGCGGAGTACAACTGTGGATCGAATAACCACAGATATTAAATATCGGTCTTGATTGATGAAGAGAGGAGTGACAATAATGGATCCCAATTGCACAGCAGAAAAGATATTTAAAACGATCACAATGCAGTATCAATGGTGTATCAATGGCGAAAATGAATTCACAGTTCTCTGCTGTATATAATTACGGGCCGTTAGGGTTCTTCTCTCGGACCTTGCTTCCGGAAGCTTCGGTTGAGTTGTAAACTGCATATGAAGGGAGGGAGTGTTTGCGATTGCTTCAACTTTAGAAAAGTGATTTTTAAAGTGATTTTGGGAAAAGTGATTAATAGTAAAAGTTGGAAGTGTTTGAGAAAAAAATGATTCTGAAAAAGTAAAAGTTGGTAGTGTTTGGTAAAATAAGTACTTTTTGTGTAATAGAAAAAATGAGAAGCAGTTTAAAGCACCCTTTTAACTGTTTCTAGCTTTTAGCTTTTAAGTGATTAATTTAAGCAGAAACTATCATTTGAAAACACTCCAAACTTAAACACTCTTTAATGCGGCTAGGATCTGGCCGGTCAAACAAAAGGTGGATCGCTTGTGGGTCAACTTGACTTCTCATTTCATTTTAGGCGTACTTCATGTTGCCACGCAGATAATAAAAATGATGAATGTCATTTTTTTTGGAAAAAATGATGAATGTCATTTAAGAGTTTAAAGTTTTTTTTGGCTAGTAAAAATTTAAAGTTTTTTTTACAGAAAAAGTTTAAAGTTTTAAATCAGTGATTCTTGGCAAATTATAGAAGGTCACAAGTATTACTTCTCTACTTTCATTAGACATCAAATACGCTTTAAACAGAACAAAATACGGTAAGAAAAGATCACATCAAATACTACACAATTTCGGAGTGAAATCGGAATTTTTTGTGAATTTCGGGTTGATCTATACCTTTGCTTAATGCACTGTAAATGAAGTCGGAACAATAGTTCTAGAACTCAAAATGATCTTTCCAACGAGTTATAACACGCTTGAAACGGAAGAACTACCCACGGCTCACGACTGTAAACTAACGCAGCCTTCTGCGGTTCCGCAGTTCCGTTGAGCCTTCGAGTCAGCGTCCAACACTCCAGTCTCCAGCTCCACCTCTCCAAGACTTCAAGAGTTCTGGTTATCAGAATCTGTATTGCCAAAAGCTTAGAAGAAACAAGCTAAGAAGAAGCTAGCACCAGAGAAGACACCTTCCTGAACCAGTTAATCCCAAACTCTTCCTGAACAGTTTGATTGGGAAGACTGTTATTGCAAAACTCAAGTGGGGAATGCCGGAATGGAGTACAAAGGGTTTCTTGTCTCTGCTGATTCGTATATGAACTTGCAGTTAGGAAATGCAGAGGAATACGTTGATGGACAATCCACTAAAATCCTTGAAGAGATCTTGATAAGATGTAATAATGTCTTATATCTTCTTGGGGTACCTAAGGACGAAGAAGTGGAGGATGCAACAAACCTTGACTAGGACACCTAGAAATTGGGAACATGGCTTGTTGTTGGAGTATTGTAGTGGTGAACTGGTGCCTTTATTAAGAACGAAACAACATTTTGCCAATTATGAAATCATTATATGTATGACCATAGCATTTCCATGCTTTGAAACCATGTGGTTTTGATCTTTGACCTACCTTCAGCATCAGCCATTTATCTTGAAAAGTTGTTTGCTTAAAAAAAAGTGTCACAAAACTAAATCTATTCTCCGTGATTTGACGTTTTCAACGTGAATAGAGCATTTTTAGCGTAAGTACAGTCTTGGATTTGAAATTCGGTTCATAAGGTAAATCATCTCTTAATATTTTGAAACTGGCGCCTGAAGACGAGTTTTAGAACTCGATAAGATCTTTTTATCAAGATAGAAAACACTTTAAACGTAAATGACCAGAATGCCCATTACTTATTAAACCCTAAACCTATCCTCCCGCTTCATCGTTCTCCATCATCGCATTTCTTACGTGTTTCAGCTGCATCACTGACCATGATCGTCGTCACCAATAACCAAGAGCCGCTACCTTCTGATGCGGTCTTTCATCGCGCACCAATCGCTGCCTCCGCCTTCACGTCGCCCACCTGCTGCTCTTATTCTCCCTTTTCTTCATTTCTATTTGATGTAAGGCGAAGACGATGGCGATGAAGAGGACCGTAGGCAAAGAAGAACACTGCGATTTCCAGTCGCCGATGATTTTGGAGTCGCTGCAGCCGCGAAAGTGATGATGGGGTTTGGGAGGGTTGATTGGGTCGTGGGGATTATGGCGAATAGGGCTTCTATGTGACGTTAGTTGGATCTTATTTTGGAGCCTTGAGTTTGCAGAATTGATTGGGTGACATGTAGGGTTACAGGCGGCGGCAAGGGTGTAAAGGTGGGGGTGGCACAATGGCGGGTGGATTGTTCTGGGCAGTGATGGACGACGGGGATTGGTAGGAATGGTGAAGGGGTTGTGTAGTGACAGATCTGGTGTGGCAAGGGGTGACGATCAAAGCGTGTCACTATATCACTGTGGTCGTCTGCCGGTAGCGGTCATCAGTCGGAGGTGGTAGTTGTGGATGTCACTATTTCTGTGTCACCGTAGCATGTCATATCATTGTAGTTGGCGGTGGCGGCTGTGGAGTTGTCACTAAGGAGATGTCACAGTGACATGCGATGGTGGTGGCCGAACAGCGGAGATGTCACTGTGGTCAGAGGTTGGGGCAGAGATATCATTGCGCAAGTGTCATTGTGTTCGGCTGCGGCGGCAGTGACACTGGTGATGATGGCGTGACATTCGATAGTGACATGAAAATTAGGTAGTGACATGAGTTTTTGGACTCACTTCATATTTTTACAAATAGGAAAAATTGATGGTAATAATCTCAACTATTGGCGGTCCGCTCATAATAATCCCATTTATTGATTATTCCAGAATAATCCCAACTTTAGGGACCTTCCGCCAATAATGGTCCCTATAAATAAATTCTTGTTGTTTCTAAAGTGGATGAGATGAAATATAGCAAATAATCACTATAAATAATGCCAACTTTTAATTGGTATGCTTACTTTCTATTTAAAATTTACTTGGTATAGGAGGTAATACTTGGTCATGGACCATTATTGGCGGACGGTCTATATAGTTGGGATTATACAAAAATAATCAATAGTTGGGATTATTGTCAGCGGACCGACAATAGTTGAGATTATTATTTTCAATTTTTCCTTACAAATATATAACCATCTTAGTCACATTTTTGTCCAAATACAAATGTAGTCATAGTTTTGCAAATTAATTTTTAGTTTAGTAATATTCAGGGAAAACCCACCAAATTATAAACCTCATCCGCATATATTTCTAAATCCTTTTAGAGAAGAAATAATTTAATTGTCTAAAGGGTGTAAGGTATATGTGATACTAGTTTTAAGTTTTAACCCCTTGTATATGTAATATCAGTTTTGTGGCGCGCATTGCACGATTAGCTAAATGTCCAAACTTTTTCTATTTAATGTAAACATTAGATCATATTCTTGGTTACGTTGGTGAAAATGATAAGAGGGATTGGATGTAGAATTAATTCTTGTAGTTTACAACAACAACAACAACATCCAAGCCTTAGTCCCAAAAGATATTGGGGTCCGCTAACATGAATCGATACATGATATCACCACCAAAAGGAAAAGAAAGAAAGATAAAAAGATAAGCTATTATGAAAAAGATAATATAAAAAGAGATGAATATACCTAAAACTGATAAAATAAAAAGGATAAAAATAATGTTTATATATATAAGGATATAAGGATAAAAAAACAAGGAAAAAATGATGGGGAAAGAAAATATGAGATCACTCCTCCACATGAATACCCGCCCTCCACTTTGCTCTCTTCAAAGTCATATCCTCATCTAACCCAAGAAGAAGCATATCACTTCAGACTCCCCTAACCCACATCTGTTTGGGCCTTCCTCTCCCCCTCTTTCCTGTCTCTTCTCCACACATCTCAACTCGTCTGACAGGTGCATCATTTGGTCTTCTACGCACATGACGAAACCACCGTAGGCGCGACTCCCGCATCTTGTTGGGTAATTGACAAAGTTTAGTAATTGACAAAAAACTCTAATTGAAAGTGTAAACACTTTCAAGAGCTCTATTGGAATTTACAAAGTACATTTGAAAGCGTGACTCAGCAACGTAACTTCTAAAAATTCATCGGCACTGTTCGTGAAAAATCAAGCGACAGTTTTAGAAAAAATTAGCAGCATTCTACCATACCGCATACCTCATATTTTCTTCCGGATTTAGAGTTTTATACGGAGTTTTATTCTTATAATATTGATCACTCAGTTGAATTGAATTGATAGTTTGATACAAAATTAAGTTTTGGAAATTTACGGAGTATGATGGTGATAATTTTGAATCTGTGTAAAATTTTGCCACAATATTGAAGGTGATTCAGATAGGTTCGTAAAACATCAATTTTTGAAACTAAAGACTGCAATCTATTCTATATTTCTATCTGCAATACTTTTCAATTTATATTACATTATAGAAAAAAGAATTAGGGTGAATAGTGCAAATTCTCTTATTTTTTTCTTCTCGGTTGGAAGCATATGGAATTATTGATGACTAATAATGGCTGCCCCAGTAATTTCTTCGATCATATACGGCAGTTCGTAACTTGGTATGAGTATAAATTAAAGATTTTTTTTTGAGTAATAAAGAATATAAATATGATTTGGATTCAAATAATGGTTGCGGCCGTGTTTTCGCATATTGAATAAATGACATATAGGAAAATATTTTAAATTGCTAACATTGTGCATTGGAGAGCTTCTATCTAATTCTTCTAATGTATACACTATGTGGATAGACATAATTTTAAATAGTTGACATTTGGCAAAATTTAGACCCTTTCAAAAGAGGAGGATTGAAGATGCTCTAAGAAAGTCTACTTTATATATCCTAGCTGACACTCATAGTTAATTAGCCTCTTGTAGTTATGACTTGCATTAGGCATTAAGTTTCAATCCAATATACCTGTAGTTTTTAGCATTAGTACACTATTTAGAAAGTGTGTTTATTACACAATCCACCACCTCCTAAAACATACGGAGTACTTCATAAATTAGATTCTTAAGTTTTAGATATGTACGCATTAGCAACTCCATTGCAACTCTTAACAAGAATATATCCCTTGCAAGTTGCAACGTAACTTTTGGAGTCAATCGCAATTCTTGTTACTCCAATGCAGATTTCCTTTGCTGTTTAAGAATGAGACAGAATAACAAATGGAAAAAGAATCCAAAACCAATTGAATCTGTCAATAAACACGGGAAAAGGGGCTAAAGTTTAACGTCAAATAACTAAGTAAAAGAATACTCCGTACATAAAAAGAATGTAATAACTAATAAGTAGTGAAGTACCATATAAGGGCATTTTTCATTTTTCTTTTGGCAGGGTTTGATACCCCAAAACAGTACTCCCTCCGTCCCAAAAAATTGTTCCCGGTTTCCTTTTTGCGTCGTCCCAAAAAATTGTTCCACTTTCCCCTTTTGGAAAGTTTTGTGTGGCTCACATTCATTTACCTTTTTCTTACACAACCACAACCATACATTTTCACTTTATTTCCACTTTCTTAAACTCTGATCCAAGTCAATGCGGGAACAATTTTATGGAACGGATGGAGTATATTATAACTGTTATAAAAAAATCATTTTTCATTTTCATTGACCCCAGTGCCGCAAAGGCTCCCACCTACGGTGGTGTAAGGGAGGTCGGATGTATGCAGTCTAACCCCTGTACTAAAGCACAAAGAGACTGTTTCCGGATGACTCATAGTGAAAATCGCGTCCAAAATTGCATGGACTCACTGCTGCTTCATAACAAAGAAGCGCTGACAGTTTAGTGAGCCATTTTGCTTTATTCCATCATATTCTCAAGCCAAAAAATAATGAATCTTTGGCTCCATTGCAAATGATAGAAAAACTGTTATTAAAAAAAATATAACGAAAATATATTATTTTTTAAATACATAATATAAAAATGTAATAACTATTTTCATATACTACGTCTTATACTTTTTATATAGTGTAATTTTTTAAAAGTTATTTTGGGAGCTGTCAATACAAAATAATCAGTTTTTCGGATTTGAAAGTATATGATTTTTATAGTTTAGAAGACAACAAAAGATTTACGGCAGCAGTAAACTCCAAGGGAGAGGCGAAGTGTGGAGTCCGACCTCTCGCACTCCAGCAGTTGCGTCGCTGCGGTCTGACTCCAGATTCATGTGAAGCTGAAAGAGCACGGACGATGCATCCAAGCAGGGATTTCATGTTTTGTTCTAGGTATCAAAGATTCTTGGTAGAGCCGTAGAGGTATGACCCAAGTGAACTATTCTTCTTTTCTGGTTGTGTTTGTTCTGTACTTTGGCGGTTCTTTCATAGGCATTGTCGGTTGTTTTGTCTCCGTGGATGTGGGGAGCTATTTTGGTGTCCCGTCCAGCTTCATCGACAGATAGAGGTTTCAAGCTGCTTTCTTTTGGGGTGCGTAGATAATGGCAAAGCTCGTGCTCCTCGAGAACTACCTCAATGTCAGGAAGATCAGAGAGTTTTGTAGAAAAACTCTGTTTCAATTTTATTTTTCCTTTAGGAGTACTTATTTTTATTTTACTTCGAGTATGTTTGCATATTTTGATTTCAGCAGTATTTGATAGACAATGTTTTAGTTCTGATTGTTTTAGCATTAAATTCGCTCGTTTTATGAGGTAGTTGATTCTATATGTCTATTCAAAGGGCTTACGATCGGCTCTGACATAACTTTCTGGAGGTTGTCTAGTATGATTTCTTGATATTAATATAAAAAGTCACTCTTTTGTTTTTTATTTTTTAAAAATATGGTGTATATAAGTATTATGAAGTATAGCATATAATTGGAGAATAAAAAATTACGAAGTACATATACACATATGCATGTGTGTGTAATTTTACATATAAATCAAAACATATTTAAAAAAATGTGAAATGAAGATATACAACTCCTAAATATAAATATAATATATATGGTAAAATAGAAATACTAAAATATGCTTTACAATATAAATTATTACATAATACATGAAATAAAAATTTAATTTTAATCAGTAAAAACATGCATTGTTTATTTTTTTTAAAATAGATATAAATATCGAAATAAATTTAAATAATTTATTTTAGTTTATTTTTTATAAATTTACTGCAAATATAAATATTTCCTTATTGTATTATTTAATAGATGTCTACAATACTTCCGACTTGTATTTTTATTTTATATTTTATTTAGTAAGAACATGCATTGTTTATTTTTTATGTTTTATATTTTAGTTTCTTATTTTTTATTTTTTGCAATTTTAACACTTTTTAACGGTTGAGAGGGTAAATTGAACAACTCAGTCCGGTTCAGGAGTCTATTTGACCCCTTAAATTGCCACATGGGATGCACGGTTGGCATCTGATCGGATGGTGTGGCGGTGACCGGACTGTTACTTGGAAAGAGTGAAATTTGAACTATTTATCGAGTTCATGGGGTGAATTGGAGCTTTTATTAGAGTTCCCATGCATCTGATCTGATGACGTGGCGGTGACCGGACTTTTACTTGGGAAAAGTGAAATTTGAACTTTTTATCGAGTTCAGAGGGTGAATTGAAACTTTTATTAAAGTTCAGGGGAAAATTGTGCATTCCAATTGAATCTTTTTTATGATCGAATAGTTTTCTTTTGATTTGTAATTTTTTAGTCTTTAGTTTATCAATGGTTTTTTCTAGATTATTTTTCCCTTGATGAAATTTGCTACATTAATTTATAATGTAGCATATTTAAATTTTGTATGTGCAAATGGAAATATTTTTTGAATGAAAAATAGGTAAACCCCTACACCAACGGAAAAGAATTTTTGCCCCTTGACTTTAAATCTCGGGTCCAACAGCCCCGCCACCCCCACCAGCCTCATGACTGTCCCGACAATCGAGACCTCACATTTGTATCTCAAGTCACGTGCCACCCTCACCTCATGACCCGATACCCACCATCATTCACCTTAACCGTTGGAAGACCAAGAGAGAGGAGAAGAAGGGTGTCAGCGATGGTGGGAAGATCAAGAGAGAAAGAGGAGATGATGGATTCACACGGATCTTCATTGCCGTGGTTAAATAGGGTGGTCGCCAGGGGCGGAGACAGGGGAGGCTAGCGGTGGCCACGGCCCCTGCAAGAAAAAAAAATGTGATTTATATATACATGTATAAATATTTATAAGTAGTGAAAAATATAGTGAAAATTTAAGTTTTTCCCCCTGCTATATAAATTCTAAGCCCCGGTCCCTGTAACCTGTCAATCCTGACTCCACCACTGGTGGTCGCTGCACACTGCTCGCCATCCCCGCCCAAGCTTTGAAAAATGGATGCATGTGAGAGGGATAGACTTTGAAACTGATGGTTTTGTTAAGGTGAAGGACATATGCTTGAAAATTAGGGGTAAGTGTGTCCTTCAACATTAACATTTAGTTAGTCTATTTTTATCAATATTAAAATAAGATCTCATTTTTATCCACCCATAAAGTCTGTAGTTTTATTTTTAGTCATTCTTTCTAAAGGTTGCTCTCTTTCCCTAGCACAAATCTTAATCATATAATTTTTAATTTATTATTACACATGTAGTAGAATAACAAATTGAAATCGAATGTACGAACAAGTTTGAATCCAACAGTTGGGTTGCTTTTGCACCCAACAGGGGTATTTTATATATGAATGGATTTGATTTAGTTTGTTTATTTATCATCTAATGTGTTTTGTTCGATTTAATTAAATTATGATATACTCCCTCCGTCCCTTAAAACTTTGCCAACTTTCCTTTTTTGGATGTCCCACTAACTTTGCCACTTTCTTTTTTAAGTAAAGAATTTGTGGTTTCAGTTAATTCTCTCTCCTCTGCACAAACTTCAACCACACAGTTTTTACTTTATTAATCCACGTGCCGGTCAAACATGGCAAAGTTTTAGGGGACGGAGGTAGTAATAAACATTTTACTGTGTGGGAGGGTGTTTAAAATTGCAGATGAAGGTGGGACTGATGGAGGGTGTTTATTAAAATTGCACATAATTTATCATCTAATGTGTTTTTTTTAAAAGAACAGATGAGCCAACGCGGGAGATGAGGGTGGGACTGATGGAGCAGAGAAATAGAAATGGCAGGTGCCATAATAACCGATAAAGTCAAATCAGTACTTTCTACAAATTCGCCACTATCATCAGCTCAAATCAATTTAAAAGCTAATAATGCTCCATATGGTACGATGATGATGTCGACGTCGTCGTACTATCCGTGGCCTCACCATTACAGCGGTGGAGCCCGGAGGAGTGTAACTGTTGGGAGGAAGTCTGTAATTGGTGATTTATATGAGAGGAGGAGAAATTTTGCATTTAGTTTGAATTTTCCAGATTTTAAACATTTTTCCATTTCTTCTCCTTCTCCTGAATTTTGCGGAATGATTTTTACGGTAATGTTGTATACTCACTTATCTTCTTCTTCTTCCTCTTCCTGTTGTTGTTGGGACCTGGAAGGATTGAATTCAATGGAGTCGCTTATTTAAACTGGTAATTTAATTCGGCTAAACAGGATGAAGAAGTGCCGCCGGAGTATGAGAGGGTGGGAGATGATTCCAGCGGCGCTCTCTACTCGATCGACGACGGGCTTACCGCTGCAGGGTTTGGGAAATTCCAGTTCTGGGTGCTAGCTTACGCAGGGCTGGGCTACCTTGTGGACGCCATGGAAGTGATGATTCTGTCCTTTATTGGGCCCAGGGACGGATCCAGGATTTCTATTCAAGGGGGGTGAAATTTTTCGGTAGTGTAGGGGGTGAAAAAAATTTCGTTAGTGTAGTGGGGCAAAATTTTTTCCCTAGTGTAGCGGGGCGAATTTTTTCCGCTACTGTAGGGCTATGCGGCTAATTTTATTCAAAAAATGACATTAATACATACACATCCCCAATGACATTTAAATCTATTAAGTAGTACGTTCTAAGTTTAAATTAGATGATGACAAAGACATCAACCAATACATTTTTAATAACTTCTACATTGTTTAACCTCATGAATCGGTTATTATTGAATTGTAATTTTTGTCCGGCCACCAAGGAGGGTGTTCGTGAGTCATGACTCATGAGAAGTTTTCTTAATATTACAATAGTAGTATGTATGATATTATTATTTTCAGAATAATATGCACCACATACACACACATATATGGTGCATATTATATTTTAATATTTGTATTAATGCTATAATAATTTAAAGTTTATTATCTATGCAATAAATTATTTTTAGAAAGCAAGAAGTAAATGAATTATGTAATTTAATGTCAATAAACATTTATATTTTGGATTCATTTTACGTGATCTAAAAACTGTGTAATTAGTGTATCTGATATTTAATATTGTTTGATATATATTTTACAAAATATAATAAAACACTACAAAACAAGTACTTGTTATCTAATAAAGATAATTAAACACTACAAAACTAGGAATTCTTATATAATAAGTATCCTAAATCTTAAACAACGAGTTATTCTATTGTTTATTTGTTTAAGTTATGTAATTATTTTAGATGTTCCTTCTTTTAAATCTTCAATTAAGTATTACATTATGTAACACTATATATTAATTTTGAAAATTAAAAGATAAGGGGGGCGAATCTAATTAAATTATGAAAGTTTTATGAAAATATTACATATATGGTAGAAAATTTTGAAAGTCCAAGGGGGGCGGTCGCCCCCCCCCGCGCCCCCCCCCCCTAAATCCATCCCTGATATTTGGGCCCTCTGTTAAGTCCGTTTGGGGGCTCTCCGATTCCCAGGAGGCCTTTATCACCACCGTTGTTTTCACCGGCATGCTCATCGGAGCTTATTCCTGGGGGCTCCTCTCTGATCGTTATGGAAGAAGGTTAGCTCCATTTTTTGGGCGCTTTGATGGCTTGTGAACCAACTTTTTCATAAAACATGTAAATTTTGTTTTCGTGCGCTGAATTGTGTAATAAGCAGAATTTTTTGAGTATCTTCAATGCTACAATGTCCATGTACACATGACATGAGAGATAGCCGCATAAATATTACTACGTACTCCCCTCGTCCCAAAAAATTGTTCCTAGTTTCTTTTTTGGGCCGTCCCAAAAAATTGTTCCACTTTGCCCTTTTGGAAAGTTTTGTGTGGCTCATATTCATTTACCTTTTTCTTACACAACCACAACCATACATTTCTACTTTATTCCTATTTTCTTAAACTCCGATCCAAGTCATTGAGGGAACAATTTTATGGGACAGACGGAGGGAAAAACTTATCAAAGTTGTATAAAATCATTCAAATAAAGAGAGATGTAATTTATCTACTAAAATTTATGTGACTGTCTCTCATATCACATGTGCAACGTCACATTGTAGCATTGGAGATGCTTTTAGGACACGTTTACTTCACGGGTTATTAAGACTCGTGTTAATCAGCGGCGCATAAAATTAAATAAGCAGATTTGTAAGCTCATGTTTACTTCAAAGTATTTAAAACACCGTTTGACATTAAAATGTCCAAAATAACCATATACATATATACACACAGGAAGTTTAGTTAGTCAGGAAATGTATTATTTCATCGGGAAATGTTAAAGTTAAACTTAATTGATGAACGAATGAAGTATTTTATCTTAAACTAAATAAACCAACTGAGGGAGTAATATACTTTCTCTGTCTCACAATTAAAGTCTCAGTTTGATTTTGTGGTTTCCTAAGTGGATGTTCAACCGTAACTATCTATAAACATATACCTATATAATATTATAATCTATAATAACTTGATATTTGAATAATATATGTTACAATGAAACACATAAAATTTATTTGTGTGATAAAATATTATTGGTTTTGAATAATTAATGGTCAAAGTTTACAAATTTGATTCAAATGTCAAATTGGGACGACTTTAATTGATGGACGAGTAGTATTACTGTTGTTGATCGTGAAACATCAAACACAGTTACACTGCCCTAGTTACACAGTCTTAATATGCATAAGACATAATTTTTTCACCATATCAAGAGATAGAGATGTCTCAGTCATAATCAAAACTAAAGAGAGACAGAGAGCAACATAAACGGCGGGTACTTGGGAATTAAATTAGGTTGACAGTTAAATTAAAATAAAAAAAAAAATATAGAGATCAATGTTGCTGTGATACAGTTAGTAACTGTATGTGCCAGCTCGGTGGGCCATGCTAGCTGATGTAGATGAGTAATAGCTGAGTTGTAACAAGTCGGTTAGAAAGTTGTTGTTAGTTAGCCAGCTTCTGAACATTACGATCAGTTTATATACTCCTTTGTACAATTGAACTAATACGAATAATAAGAATCATCTTCTTCTCTATTGTTTCATCTCTCCCAATCCCTAACTAATTCTGGAGTTATTATACTTGTTCTCGTTGTCTAAATTCTACACTCCTTGATAGACAGCCTGACTGGTATCATTGGTATCAGAGCTACGTGACCTGATTATCGTTGATTTGAACAAAATGGTGCAAACACGAAATGCGAATGCTGAAACGGATGAAATACTGAAGGTTATACAGCAGGAATTCGACCAAAAGCTGGAAAATCAAAACAAATTGATGATGGATATGATGAGCAAGATTATGAAGAAGGTCGTGGAACTGCAAAAAGATAAACGTACCACAGAAGAAGAGGAAGAGGAAGGCGATAAGGTCTGGAATGATCACGAAGAATCCTCCTCTGAGGAAGAACCAGATGATTCTGTACAAGGTAAAACTCCACCTGCACACCCAAATACTTTCCGGTTTACACCTAAAGTGGAATTTCCTGTATTTGATGGACAAAATGTTAAAGTGTGGATCCAGAAATGCGAAAGATACTTTTCTCTTTGTAATATTCCTGACAGTCAAAGAGTAAATCTAGCTGCATTATACTTAGAAGGGAGGGCAGCTAATTGGTTTGGGCATTATGTGGGATCTAAGAAGAATTTGAAATGGAAGCAGTTTATTTTTGATCTCAAAGCTAGGTTCAGTGATAACCTGAGCAATAAGGTGGTTGAGAGGTTTAATAATTTGAGGCAAACAGGATCCTTGGAAAGCTTTATTGATGAGTTTGAAACACTCAAAGCTGCGATGATACAGAGAAATCCCAAGTTGCCCTCAAGTTATTTCTTGGACTGTTTCTTGGCTGCTATGAAACCTACTCTGAAATCATTTGTTAAAGCTTTTCATCCTAAGAATATGGCAGAAGCAATTGAGTTTGCGAGATTACAGGAGGATACGGTAGAAGCCATCACATCACAAACTAAATCTAGTGGGGTGCAGAAAATGCCTATAAACAAACCTCTATTACCTACTCCAGTACATACGGTAAAATGGGAGGGTAATACTGAAAAGTCAATGGTGCCTACTCCAAGGAAGTTTGTATCAGCTGGGGAAAGGGCTGATAAGAGAGCTAAAGGGTTGTGCTATTACTGTGACCAACCCTACAGCAAAAATCATGTATGCGGTCACAAGGGTAGTCAATTGTTCTTGGTGGAAGTCATGGGTGAATCTTCAGAAGAGGCCAATGAAGAGGAATATTCAAAACAAGAGAGTAGTAGCCAATTTGTTATGCCAGAAGAAGAACCATTAATATCATTCCATGCCCTGAATGGATTTGCAGATTACAGGACAATGAGACTTAATGGGTATGTAAATAAAAGGAAGGTGTTGATCTTGGTGGATTCAGGCAGCACACACAATTTCTTAAGCTTGAACATGGCTAAGAAACTAGGCTGCAAGCTGGAAGAGGTAAATCCATTGTTAGTAGCTGTGGCTGATGGCACTCAAACAGAATGTCATTATGTGTGTAGAAATTTCACATGGAAGATGCAAAATACTCATTTTCATGGAGACATTTTAATCTTACCTCTGGGAGGATATGATATGGTGCTAGGAGTGCAATGGTTGAGCACATTGGGGGAGATCAACTGGAATTTCCAAGAGCTCTATATGAAGTTTAAGTATCATGGTCAACAGGTGGTTTTAAGGGGGCAGAAGTTGGGTAACTTGAAAACAATGCAAGGTACCAAAAAGCAGCTTAGCCAAGTTAATCAATTGTATTTGATTCAGAGCCAGAATCATTTAGCTACTGAAGAGGTTGAACATGAAGAAACACCTTTTGGTATAAAAGTGACTCATGATGCAGATGCACACATAACCCCAGAATGTTTGCAATCATTGATTTTGTAATATGAGGATATCTTTGAAGAACCCCAAGGGTTACCACCTAGTAGAGGGATATTTGATCACAGGATTCCTGTAAAAGAGGGGTCCCAGCCAGTGAATGTAAGGCCCTATAGATATCCTTTGAAGCAAAAAGATATCATTGAGGAGAAGGTCAAGGAACTATTGGAGAAAGCTGTCATTCAACCTAGTGCATCACCTTATGCTTCACCGGTTGTCTTGGTAGGAAGGAAAGATGGGGATTGGAGGCTGTGTATTGACTATAGGGCGCTGAATAACCAGACCATTAAAGATAAGTTCCCAATTCCAGTCATAGATGAATTAATTGATGAGTTGGCTGGAGCTAAAATCTTTTCCAAAATTGATTTAAGAGCTGGTTATCACCAAATCAGGGTGCATAAAGATGATGTATTCAAAACTGCATTCAAAACCCACTATGGTCATTTTGAATTCCTAGTTATGCCTTTTGGGCTAACTAATGCCCCTGCAACATTTCAAGCGTTTATGAACCATATTTTCAAAGATTTTCTAAGAAAATCTGTGTTGATTTTCTTTGATGATATATTGGTTTATAGTGCAGACCTGGGAACACATAAAATTCATTTACAACAGGTATTTGAGGTGTTGAGGCAGAATAAACTGTTGGCTAAAAGGAATAAATGTGCATTTGGATTCAGAAAAGTAGAATATCTGGGGCACTACATTTCTGGTCAAGGAGTTGAAACTGATCCTAGAAAGATTGAGTCAATTATGAATTGGCCTGTTCCTAATAATCTCAAGCAGCTCAGAAGCTTTCTAGGATTAGCAGGTTACTACAGGAAATTCATCAGGGGGTATGCTGTCTTAGCCAAACCACTTACTGATTTGTTGAAGAAAGGATCTTTTCAATGGAATACTGAAGCCACCAATGCATTAGAGAACTTAAAGAGAGCTTTAACTACTGCACCAGTGCTGGCTTTACCTGACTTTGAGAAGCAGTTTGTGGTAGAGACTGATGCATCTAATCAAGGGATAGGAGCGGTTTTAATGCAAGAGGGACACCCTTTGGCCTTCATCAGCAAATCTTTGGGTACTAGATGGCAGAAGTTATCAGTATATGAGAAGGAACTATTAGCATTGGTGTTTGCAGTACAGAAATGGGAGCAATACCTCTTTGGTCAATCATTTATTATCAAAACAGATCAAAAGAGTTTGAAGTGGCTGTTAGAGCAGAAAATTTCCACCCCTTTTCAGCAGTTTTGGCTATCTAAGTTGATGGGTTTTAGATATGAAATCCAATATAAAAGTGGAGTGGAAAACAAGGTGGCTGATGCCTTGTCTAGAGTGAGTGGAGCTGAGTTATTATGTTTAGCATTGTCCTCCATTAACTCAGATCTAATAAGTTGGATTAAAAGGAGTTATGAAGGAGATGTATGGATTCAACAACTGCTGGCTAAGTTGAACGGGAATACTGCTCAGAAAGATGATACCTATAACCTGGAGAATGGTTTGATCAGGAAGAAAGGTAAAATTCTGGTAGGAAATGATGATAAGGTGAAAGAAAAGATACTGCAATGGGCACATACCTCTGCTATGGGAGGTCACTCAGGGAGAGATGCAACTGTACAAAGGATTCATCAGCTATTCCATTGGAAAGGCCTTAATAAATTTGTCCAAGCTTTCATAAGAGCTTGTGTGGTCTGCCAAGCCTGCAAGTATGATAATGCTGCCTACCCTGCAGTGGAAGTAGCACAAGCTTATTTGGATAATGTGTTCAAATTGCATGGTTGGCCAAGAACAATTGTGAGTGATAGGGGATCTATCTTCCTCAGTAATTTTTGGACTGCTCTTTTTAGCATTCAAGGGGTAGATCTGCTGTTATCTACTTCCTTTCACCCACAAACCGATGGACAGACAGAAGTAGTAAATAGGTGTCTTGAAAACTACCTCAGATGTATGTGCAGTACAAAGCCAGCAGAGTGGAGTAAATGGGTACCTCTAGCTGAGTGGTGGTACAATACTTCTTTCCACTCCTCTATTCAGATGACACCTTATGAAGCAGTATATAATCAACCACCACCCTTGCATCTACCTTATTTAGCTGGAGAAACTAAGGTTGCTGCAGTGGATAGATCAATGCAGCAAAGGGAGGATATGATTAGGGTGTTAAAGTTTCATTTGGCACAGGCACAAAACAGAATGAAGGTGCAAGCAGACAAGCATAGATCTGAAAGACAGTTCAAGGTGGGAGATTGGGTTTGGTTAAAACTGCAGTCTTACAGACAGCATTCAGTGGAGCAGAGATCAAATGATAAGCTTTCTCCTAAGTATTATGGACCATTCCGAATAGGAAAGAGGATTGGCGAAGTTGCCTATCAATTGATACTTCCAGAGGAGGCTAAAATCCATCATACATTTCATGTGTCTCAGCTGAAGGAGTTTAAGGGACAGTTGCCAGATAAGCCTCACATACCTACGTGGTTTCATGGAAGAAACAATGACTCAACTGTTAAACCTGTTGCTATGTTAGAAAGACAGTTGGTCAAGTATGGTAATGCACCCAGAGTGAAGTTTTTAATTCAATGGGAAGGCCAGAAGATTGAGGATGCAACCTGGGAGTGGTCTGATTATATTAAGGCAGTTTATCCAGACTTTTATAAAAGTGTGACTTGAGGACAAGTCAGCTTTGAAGGAGGGAGTATTGATACAGTTAGTAACTGTATGTGCCAGCTCGGTGGGCCATGCTAGCTGATGTAGATGAGTAATAGCTGAGTTGTAACAAGTCGGTTAGAAAGTTGTTGTTAGTTAGCCAGCTTCTGAACATTACGATCAGTTTATATACTCCTTTGTACAATTGAACTAATACGAATAATAAGAATCATCTTCTTCTCTATTGTTTCATCTCTCCCAATCCCTAATTCTGGAGTTATTATACTTGTTCTCGTTGTCTAAATTCTACACTCCTTGATAGACAGCCTGACTGGTATCATGCTGCCTGCGTTCCCCAACGCAACACGATTGCAATGTAACCACGTCAAACCGCAGGAATATTAATTTTGTCATTCTTTATTATTATTATTGTTATACTACGGAGTAATTATTATTATTATTATTATTATTATTATTATTATTATTATTATTATTATTATTATTATTATTATTAACTAGTTAAGTTTATCAAGTTTTCTTTTGAATGAAAGACCGAATATATTTCAAAGTGGTGACAATGTACCATACTTTGTACTCGATGGGCAGGTCCCATTTTATTCCCTAATGAAGGAACCGTTGGAAGGTCTAGTGCGCTATTTTGTACTCCCTCCGTAACTTAAAAATCTTCTCACTTTCCTTTTTCGTCCGTAACACAAAAATCTTCCCATTTCTAAATTTTCCCATCATACCCTCAATAATTCTTAAAATAATACACTATTACAACTACTTTTTTTGGATTTATCCTACATTCCACCACATTATTCCACTATTTTTTCTCATCATACCCTCAATAATTCATATCATCTTTCACTATTCTTAATCTACCTACTTTTGAAATGGGAAGATTCTAAAGTTACGGAGGGAGTAATAATTGTTTACTTAATAATGTCATTTTCTTATTTATTTTTTTGTTCTTTGCTTACTGATAATAAATGCTTAAAACTTTATTCATAATTTTTTTGATTAACTTCAAGTTATTTACTTATTCATTCAAAAGAGTTTAAATTAAGGATGTTTTTAGTTGGACTAATTTCAATCTCAGACCAGATTAGACCAAATCACTCCAGGTCAAATCTAATTAGATCAGATCAGACTTCGACAATTATAAACACACGCAAACTAGAAAAGATCGTACCAGACTTAGACAATTCATATCAGATCAGACTAGAAAAAAAAATTCAGTCCAATTAAAAAGATCCTAAATTTAAAAATTAGAGAGTAATATTGATGTCGTGGTCCACAACACTTTACAATTGGGGCAAGTCGCACCATTATTTTCTAGTTTCTTTTATTATCATTATTATTATTATTAATTTAATATCATAATTGTTATTATTATTATAACTATGTGCTTATTTATCGTATTTTGTAATAATAATTCACATTAATAGTGTCATTTTCATTTTTTTGATCTCTTTTTACTCATCAATTCTTAAAAGAATTTTTCATAATATTTTGTAATGAACATTAAATTTTATGCTCACTAATGTGAATAGTATCACACACGAGTATTATTAGTGCATTATATAAACAATGGGGGAGGGGGGAGCAGCCCGTGACATTTCCGTCACATAAAAACACCATAACCGGTGCGCCCACTCCCTTCATGACATAATTTTTTTTTATATAAACAATATTTTTTTAATACATGCAAATATAAAATCAACTCACACCAGGTTGCTCGCATTACACATTGTACCAACAATAATTGCTATCATTAGAGTGACTGCAACCGCAATTTAAAAACATGATCTCAAGTACACACAATTATTTGAATATAGTCAAATTTAGTTTTGACCGCAAAATCTTTTGAAACTAAGGATTGAACGTTGTTGTAGTCAAATTTAGTTTTGAATACATGGTAGATGAAATTTTATTAACCCCCATAATGTTTTAAGGATTATGATTTACTTTGTTTAAAAATTGCGGTTGATTTAACCACAAATGTGTTACTTCAAGAGGAGATAATAATTTTTTTGGAACAGCTAAATAAGAAAGTTGACAAAGTTTAGTGGGACGGAGGAAGTATACGATCATTTTAATGTTTTGATATACATCACCTAACAATAACATTGCTTCACTTTTGCAATCTATGATCCAAATCCAGGAGGGCTATACTGAGCATAGCAATAGTGACTGCCATATCATCTCTTTCAAGCGCTTTTTCCATGACTTATATATACTTGCTCATTCTTCGTTCTATGGTTGGTACTGGCCTGGGTGGCGCATCTGTTTACTTTTGTTGGTTTCTAGAGTTTGTGCCTCCTCGAAACCGGGGCATCTGGATGGTTATCTTTTCAACATTCTGGACTCTTGGAGGTATTCTTGAGGCTGTTTTGGCATGGGTATGTCCTGTCCTTGAACAACTCATAGTATCACAGTATATACTTGTTTCTTTTTTGTTCTTGAATCATGCACTAATGTTTGGCTTAGTGGTTTACACCATCCCCTTCTACCTAAACAATTAAAGCTCATATTCCGTTTAGGAACCAAGTCCCCAGGCATCTGTGTATTTCATACCTAGTGTTATGTTATAGTGATCGTCAAGTGTGCAGACTAATTGAATTAGACCAGTTGTAAACAGAAATGTACACTAGCACAACTTCAGCTTGTAGTGTCTCTTCGGAAAATTTGAGTATTTCAAGTGAAGTTTTTGACTTGGTCTATTATCTTTGTCCCACATCGATGTTTTGAAGGAAGTTTTGAGCCTATTTAAGTGCTCACTCTTATCTAAAGAGTAAAAGGAAAATAGAGAAAGAGGTTCCCTTTCTTTTCCTAAAGCTCCTTTGCAGGTTCATGAAGCCAGACTTTGGCAACAATGTCTCAAGATTTAACACACTTACCAATTGTATAGGGCAAAGACGTATGGTGGCCCTTGAGTCTAATTTGGGATGGAATTTTTTTGTTTTATTTTTGGTTAATCTGATTTATGGTCCGGTGGGCATCACTCCCGCTCTAACTCTCTAAGAATCACCCAAGGTTGAATCTCATGAATGACGACAAGTCGACAATGACAACAACAAACCCCGACCTGTCCTCCTGTATCCAAGTGACCCCCCATATGGGCAAAAGTATTCATGTAAAACTTTTCAAAAGATCTTGTAAATAGTGTCGAATGATTTACGGTATCCACTAAGCTTCTAGTAGCAAAGACTGGTGGGAAACCATGTGTTGAGGGCTTCAACGTATTAATGTTTTTTATTAATCTTTATGTTGTAGCATCATGTTCTAGGATTTTTTCCTCAATTCCTCTTCTCCCACCTCCCTCGTTGATTATCAAATAATGGTGTGTCATTCGTTGGAGTGTTTAATCCCCACCCACTTCTGCTCCAATAATAACTACAGTACAAAACTAGTTAAAAGAAAAGAATGAGATGAATTACATATGGAGTATAAGACATATTATTAAATGCATTAGTTTCTTTTGTAAATCTTTGTTCTACTTTTGGTGTGACCCGTCTCCCAACAGTGGGGGCCCTTGGAGATGGGGGTGTCATCCTTTTTTGTATGGCTTCGTCACGGAATGTGAGAATTCATTTACTCAATATTTATATCATGTATACCTAGGTGAATATAAGTGTATACACATTTCTTTGATATATTACTATAGGTTGTTATGCCAAAGTTGGGTTGGAGGTGGTTGCTTGCACTATCATCGATACCATCATTTGCCACACTTGCCTTTTATGGTCTCATAGTAGAATCTCCTAGGTACCTGTGTTCCAAGGGAAGGGTAAAAGATGCTCACAGTATCTTGCAAAGGATGGCTGCGGTGAACAAAACAAAACTTCCAACTGGAATGCTTGTTTGTGAGAAAACTATTGGTGCCAATGAAGAAGCTTTACCATCAAAGGAAACAGGCAATTGTGCTAATCTTAGAGGCGGATTCTCTTCTCCGTTTGCAATATTGTCACCCAAATTAATGGGAACTACCCTTCTCATATGGACACTGTATTTTGGGAATGCATTTTTGTATTATGGAGTTATACTAATGACCTCAGAGCTTAGCAGTGGCCAAACTAAATGCCTCTCAACTACTTCATCAGGCTTGAGCAGTAACTCTAACCTATATAGAGATGTCTTTTTCACCAGTCTAGCAGGTAATTTTAGTACTTCCTAATATTTTAGTGTTAGTTTCTTGTAATTAACAATTGAAATAGTCTTCTATTTGCACCGATATTCTATTTTGGTTATTATTCCTCATAACAATATTGTACTCCCTACCAAAAGAGGTACATTTCTGTGAACTATTTTAGTCCCTAAAAAAGTTATATAGATTCATTTTTTAGTTAATGATGTAAAGATAGGGAAGTGATTTTTGTCAAATACTCCTAATCATTCTATATATATTTTCTGAACTGGGTCATTTCTGTTTTTGAGAAATAACAGAGAAAGAATAATGTGCAGAGGTTCCTGGTCTTATTTTAGCAGCAACCTTGGTGGACAAAGTTGGTCGGAAAATTACATTGGCGCTTATGTTCGCATTGGGCTTTCTCTTTGTATTACCAATTGGTTTACATCAGAATGAGACTTTAACCACTTTCTTATTATCCGGAGCTCGTATGTGTTTCATTGGGACATTCACAATTGCTGTGATATATTGCCCTGAGGTCAACACTGCGCCCTTGTTTGTCATTTATAGAATTATAGGTTAGCAGCTTTTGATTCAAGTGTTCAACCTAGGGATGAACCAGGTCCTGGTTTCGGAATCGAATTGGGCAAGTAACAAACTGGACTAGACGCCCTTTAATGCAGTTTCATACCGAAACAAGTTCCCAAAGCTGGTCCAAACTGATTCCAGTTCCTCCAAGATTAGCATGGAGCAATCATGGGTTTTAAAATTACTTCAGTTTTAAAAAATAAGCTAAACTCAGGCCAAACCAGGATAGTTCTAGCATTTCCAAACCCATAATTGTTTATTTCTCATGCGCAGATATATCCAACTTCTGTGAGGAACACAGGGGCCGGAGTTGCCAACTCGGTAGGGCGAATTGCAGGGATGATATGTCCCATGGTTGCTGTTCAATTGGTTAACGGCTGTGAAATAAAGGCAGCGATATTTTTATTTGAGGTTGTAGCGATTGTTGCAGGAGTTGCTGTTCTGCTATTCCCTATAGAAACCAAAGGTCAAGAGCTAGTTGATACATTAGTTCCATGAACTAAGAGACTATATGGGGTGTTTGCCAAATTATGTTAGCTAGTTGTCAATAGCACATTCAATCAACGAGTTTGACTAGCGGAATAAGTTAGTGGGTTGTCAGAAAATGTTTAAATTAGTCGAAAGCATCATATCTAAAGCGCTAACTCAAAACTCTCCTATTAACAATGTTTTCATTTAACCAATTTTATCCAAAAACGTTTGTGCTGAACAGCAATTTACCAAACAACGTTTTGATTTATTCACAGCACTAAAAGTGGTCAAACCACCCTTTTTTTTACTGAAATGCCATTTATCCCCTATAGTTAATAAACAAAGGGAGATTTTCTAAAATAGAATTAAAAATAATGTCAAATTTGAAAATGGGTATTGTGATTTTTTTCTAAAGCATGAGTAAATTATGAGCCCTTTTCATTTAGCCAAATTTGATTTTCAAGTCAATGATATTAAACGTTGACCGATTATATATTTATACACGATAGTATTGATAATATGAAAATGATATGAAATGGATTAACATTTACCATCTTTGATTGCAGAAGTAAAAAATGACTAAATAAAAAGAGAGAATATTTTTTTAACATAATAGATATTCATAAAAAAACATTATAGATATTAATACAATAGTATTATTGTCAAAATTGATTTTATTTTCTGTATTATTTGGGGAAAGAAAACATAATGCTTTTATCCAAAAATTTCACATTACTTTTAATTTTTTTAGAGCAATTTTTTATAAATGGCAATGCTTTTAAGGACGGAAATGTTATACAATCACATATTATGTGCGTAGTAAATAATAATCTTTATAATCTCAAATATATGTCAAAGATATACACCACCACCCTTCAAAACGTTTCGTAAAAAAAAAACACCTCCACTAAACTGGTCAAGTAATAAGCATGTTTTGAGCATTTTCCTTGCTTAACAAAAGTAAATATGTCTTGAAATGGCATGCTTTTCGCAATGAGGGGTCGTAGACTACCTGATACTTTGGTTTCCTGAGCATATACTTGTCTTTCATTGTTTAGCAAAACTCAGTTCTCATTGGTACATCAGCTGTAATAATAAGATCACTTCATATTTTGGTTTCATTCTAGCTTCTTGACTTCCTCTGCCAAGAGCCTAAGATCAGAGAAAACATTTACGGCAAGACTCAGATGAAGAGAAGAATACATTACACACTGCAGAACATTTGTTTTGGAAGCAGAAAATTTTGGTCCTTCATAGATTGGATTTGTTAGCAGTTAGTAGATTGGATTTGTTAGCAGTTAATAGAAACCCGCTTCAATTGATCTTTGGCTTTGGTCTTCTTGGCCTCAAAACAAACCATAGAATAAAGAGAACAACCAAAAAGGCAGGTATGGTTGTCATGTCAAAATCAACATCAACTTTCCGGTGGCTTGTGCAGTGAATTGGAGAGAGGCTGGCTAGTGTCACATTTGTATACTCTGCAAACCTGCCAAAAGAGAGACATTTATCAATAACAAATTAAGAACCAGGTTTTATGTAGGATTTATGTAGCGAGGAGCTTGGGTCCCTGTTTAGGTCATATAGCTAATCAGATTCAAATTAAACCCCATTCATAGAAAAACACAGGTGGGAGGGGGTTGATCGAGATTGGAACCTATTCTATTGAGGGGGGGATGAGTTTGGTCGAGTGGGAATTCGGAGGGAGGGGTGGTACCTATCTCATTAATTTATTCTTACACTTAGTTGCTTGGTAAGAAAGTAGGGAAGAAAAGTTGTATCGAAATAAATGCTTTAATTAAACATATACACTGCAGTTATTTTCTAATCTAAAGACTAACAAAGAGACACTGGTAATCTTCAAAAATAAAAATTAGAAGTTGTCATGTGAGGGTAATAATAACCAATGGGGGTAGCTAACCCTTTTGATGCATCCTCTAGGGTATGCAGAAGTACCAATGCATCCGAATAACGAAGCTCTCCAGAAACAGTTGAAATCTGAAAAAGACACCCATACACCATGAGCTTATGAGCATGAGCAAGAGAAAGAGCCCAGCTTATTAAATGGGAATGAAACATGAAGTGAAAAAGAACCTATATATTCTCTCATGTGAAATGAAATGACTTTTCCGCCCCTATTTGTTTTCCCAAGTTTGACTAATTCAACAAATAATGAAGTACAAATTATGAGGTCAAACTTTTTGGGACAGCCAGATTAAGAAAGTTGGCAAACCTTTTTGTAAAAGTTGGGGCACATGAAGTATTAATAAGTTGTAATTTGTAACCTCTTCAGCTCTTGTATATATAGGTTCACATTTAACAATGACATGTGGCTATGAGAGAATATAATTTTCGATTGTATAGTATATTTATATGCATCATCATATGAGCAAAGCAGTAAAAGTCTCAAGTGCAGAAAGAATGATAAAATTGTGCATTGCATTGCGTACCCTTCTCCACAAGCTGACAACATAATTATATTTGTTTAATAGCTCACGCTCCTGAGATTGAAAGAGCTTGAAAGTCCTCTCTGCTGTTTCACGTTAAGTAGAACAAACACACTATTTCACAGGCTAAGAAGATGTCATACTGCCCTAGTGCCCTGGATAAAATAACTCACAACTATGCTTTGGACTCCAGAGTCTGGATCAAGTCTTAAATTAAAGTAAATAATGGGTGCAACCATGCAAGAACATGTTTCAAAGAAGAAGTAAATGATGGTGTGCAAAGTTTTTGGAGAAATGACCGACCCTGGAATAGGTGCATTTTCAAAGAAAATAAAACAACATCCAAGCCTTGGCCCCAAAAGTGTTGGGGATCAGGTAACATGAACCAACATATGAAATCAGAGGTCAAATCAAAGAAAATAAAACATGGGTGGAAAATTAAATGTTGGTATAAAATATGGGGTGTAAAGACACATATGCCAGAGATCAAACTCAAAAGGATACACGTCTTCTCCATGACAAGGCGATGAATGGCTGAGTTGACGAGTAGAATTGATTCCTCAAGACTTGTGAGTATATAACTTCGAGCAATTGTGTCAGATAGAAATCTCGAGATGCGCCAGCCTGAAGAAATGATAGACAAGGGGTTGCAACCTACTGACCATATCCAATCCTGTTCAAAAAGGCATTAACAACAAATGAAGATATAATTTTATACTACGTAATAAAAAGGATATAACTTTATCAGAATGGATCATGAAATAATCATTGCACTGGGAGTTGAATAACAACTCAATAAAAGAAAGTTCTCAATCAGAACATATTGCACTGAAGCTTTCTATCTATGACCAGATAATTCAATAGATAAAATTACATTCCATGCAAGACAAACCTCGACTGCAGTTTCATGGGCTTGACTGTAAACAAGATGAAGAGGAAGTATTCCAGCTAGATGTTCTGAGACAGCAGCTAAAGCAGCCTTTACAGGCCTCCTAACAGACCATAGGGAAAACGGACAACAATTGTTATTTGTACTGCCTTCAAGATTTCTCACATTATTTTATCTCAGGAAAAATAGAAGTGAAAAATAGAAGTGCTCAGGATGAAGAATGATGGTCATTAGTCATGGAAAAAGTTGATTCAAAGTTATTCCTTCACCTTTATCTTTTTAAAACTGATATCACAATGGTAACTATGCAATGTGAATGCACCGAGTGTAAAACCAGCCAAGTTAAAATTCAAATTTTTAATTATTACATAACCTATACCATCGAAAGTAGAATAAATTTGCTAGTATCAACACCGAATATTCATCATCAATTCAAAATATAACCTCAAGTCCCACAAAAGTGACCGCCCATTACACTGTAGATGACTTTCCCATGATGATGATTCTGATTGAACAACAATAACCATATCGGGTAGTGCTTTTGCCTGGTAATGCTTATCAACTAACAATGGTTCCCCGTGAATAAACCAGAAGATAGGGATTTCCAGAGTTGACCTACTATGGGCATGTAACCCTGCATCATCAATAAATTGGCACTTAACTAAAGAAGCCTAAGAACATCCATGATATGCCTGTTTTAGTGAATGAATGGAGAGAACCACACATTTCAATGTCTAGATGTGAAGAATAATAGAATGACATTTACAGCAATATACATCATGTATTCATGTATGCCAACTTTACTCAATTAAAGAATGGGTAGATTCACAAGCACTGGTATCTTGCATAACAAGAACAAATGAATGTCATTTACAGCAATATTGCATGTGATGCACATATATATATATATATATATATATATATAATTCTTTTTTTTTCATTTTTTTCAAGCACATATATATAGGGTGAAGTTCCAATTAGAAGAAGCTTTTAGCTGAGAGATGATAATGAATCTCAACCATTGGATTCCACTATGTTGTATTAAAAACAACTTCATGTTGCACTGAAATATGCAACCTAATACGGTGGCATTTTCGTAAATACTTCTGAAAAATCCGTATTACATGTGTCTAGTGCAACACGAAACTGTTTTTATGCAACATTGCAACATCGTCAAATTTTAGTGCGACATAAAACAGTTTTAGTGCAACATTGCAAAATTTAAATCCCACGGCAACATGAAGTTCTTTTTAGTGCATAAATCTAATACTGGGATTAATTCTCATTTCTCACATTAGATGTATTTCTCACTTGAACCAAAATCTATATATATATATATATACATGCATACTGTAACTTCTCATTCACCCTCATCTTATGCCTTTTAGCTTTTGATATACCACATTATGGAATAATTTAAAATAAGCGGTTTCCCGTGTTCTTGTTTCAGACTGAAATTATTGCTTAAATAATCAGGCCCGACAACAGCGTGGTTCTCTGTCTTCGTTTGGGGGGGGGGGGGGGGGGGGTCTTCTGTCTTCACATATCACAAAAACTCAGGAAATGCATAACATGCCGAAATGTGCTCATTGTAAAACAAACCTTTCAAAGAACCATGATCATTCAATCTTTGTAGCTGATGCTGGAGGATGGAAGAATCAAGATATGATCTGACAGTTTTCCTGTATGTGCCATTCACAAGCAAAAGGGGAACAGCAGCTGCTCTTCTAGCCACAGAAAAAGCCATTGCCAGAGCAGGATCTTCCGACAGGGATAACCTAGACGCGTTACATGAGATGAAAAAAGTGCAAGTACAGAAATAATTACATACATGGATGAAGAGCACATGCAAACTCTCTTTTTTGC